ATTGCCAAGCTTGGAGCTCAAACCAACACCCCAGCTACCAACCTGAGCTACTAATATTCAAGCACACTTCAAACATTTGTATTATCTTCGGTGAGGAGAGCCCTTGAAATTCAAATGCATGAGAAGATTCCAGAAAGATCTTCAGAAATTCCATCCGGAACACAGCAATTATCCAAATCATAGCCACAAACCCTCATTCTTGGCTACATTCTGCTATAGCCTACATCCAGCCTGTTACAGGTAACCCTTGGTTTACAAGCATTCATCTAGTGAGAGTTCAAAGTTACAACAGCGTTGAACAAAGTGACTTATGCCCATTTTTCAGGGTCATGTGATTAAAATTTGGATGCTTGGCCACTGATTCATATGTATGATGGTTGCAGTGTCCCAGGGTCACCTGATCCCCTTTTGTGACCTGACAAATAAAATCAGTGGGGAATCCTGATTCACTTAACAACCCTATGACTAATTTAACTGCAGTGTTTCACGTAACAACTGGGACAAGAAAGCCTCTAAATTGTGGTAGAATTCACTTAACAGCTGTCTTGCTTAGCAACTGAAATTTGGGGTTCGGTTGGGAGTCATAAGTCGAGGACTTCCTGTATTTGCATCCAAACACCAATGTGGGTGTGCACATTGTGCACTTAGATGCAACAGAGAAATATAGTTGTGTATCTTCTTCAACGTTTTGATTATGATTAAACAGACTCTCCTAATTAATACATCCGATAGATTCATACCAGGGGCCAAATAAAACTGGTCAAAATTGCCTTGGGATATCTCTCATTTTAACTGCCATGAGTGTGTAACACAACCCTTCAATCCACACACACATCCCATAAACTAATTTTGAATGGAAATACGGCAACATGGTGCCTCCAACTTTAATGTTATGGAATTGTTCCTAGAGGACTTATAGCTGATGCTATCAAAAGTGTCTGGGGGATTATGGAAAGACAACAGCTATCTCGTTGGTCTTTGAATAAAGATTACTTGTCAAAATGACAAAGACTAATTCATTCCCCCCAACCAGTCCTAAAAAAAGAATGAATGGATTTGGACACCGGTGTCTTCTGAGATAATTGCAGTCATGCCATCAACACTCATCAAGCATCTTGTCAGACTTCTGGTTTGAGCTTCTTCAGCGACAGACCGAAACCTCGTCTCTGCGAGGCTTCGATCTGTGCGCACCTCTGAAGCGCCCTGAGCCGGCTGGTTTTGGGGCTAAACCACCCCATAGAGGTGGTGAAGAGAGGGGAGACTGCCAGCAGGGTTGAGGAGAGCCGCATCTCTCCTCCCCAGCTGGCCATTACTCCCTTTCCTGAAGGCGGTTGCAGCAGTGGTCAGAAATGGCCACCACAAAGAAGAACTCGACTGGAAAAGAATGTGCAGGAGGAAGATAAGAAGAGAAAGTTTTGGTTGACCGGGTCAAACAGCAAAAGCAACAAATAAGGTACCCTGGAATTGAAACTGTTAAAAAACAATAACATTGTTCCTTAAGAAGATTTTTAAGCTGCGAAGGAGAGAGAAAAGGGAAAAGATTTGGTTTTCTCCTTTTCCTATACTGACAGCTAAGAGACTTAAGCAAGAAATTGAAAAAAATCCACTTTGACATCAATAGGCATTTAATGCTGAAAATAAAAAGTCAAAGGGATAATAAAGATTTCTGGATAATTAAAAGCTTTTGAAAACAGGAAAGGAGAGAAAAAGAATAAAAGGGTAGGATCTGGAAGGGAGGAGACTGCCTGGGATTAAAAAATAATTTACAGCAAAATCTCAACAAGACTTCCAAAAGATACATTCTAACTGAAATATCGCAACAAAAACCCCAGGAAGAGAAAGTGAAAAAAGAAGCATGAAGAAACAGCTTGGGACTATTTGGATTACTTGGTGATCTCTCGATTCTTGGTTATTGCATTTGAATGACTAAAATCAATTGGGTGGTTGTTTAAAACTGTTTAAAATGGCTCCACTTTTAGAAGAACTGAAAATGGAACTTAAAAAGTACAAAGAAGATGCACAAGAAGGGAGAGGTTCTTTTGGCTTCGTATTTCAGTTTTTAGAAATGGAGATTTGGAATTATGAGAAACAACAAGAAATGCCTGCAGAACAAGAAGATTGCGACAAAGAAGAAGCCACCTTTAATGAACAAGTAATCTTAGATGAGAGGAAAAAAGGAAAGAGAGGAAACAGAATGGAAAGTTTAAGACTGGGAAAAATAACTCCAAAAAAAAAAAAAATAGAGTTAAAAATAAGTATAAAATCAGAAAGCAACAGAAGAGGGAAATGCAGAAGAGAGAATTAGAACTAGAGAGAAGATGAGAGGGAAGAAAGAAAGGAAAAGAAGTTATAAAGGACAGAAGCAAAATATAGAGAAACAGGGCCTATTTAGAGATAATGGGTGAAAACTTAATGGAAAAAGGGATTCTGCAAAGGTACATAAGATAGTATGGTTATATTAGAAGTAGAAATAATTTTAGAAAATATGAAACAATGTATGATTAAAATGTCTGATAAAATAGCTATTGTAATTCAGTGGAATGCTTGTCAATAAATAAATGTAACAAAAGGTATATTTAATGATTTATAAAACATATGTGAAGAAAAATAAGGGAAAAATTAATTATGGAGATTATATGTGTTTTTAAGGAAGTATGATATTTAATTGAAAAGAAGTGTTAAAGATGTTAAGATTTTAGTGATTATTAATGATAGAACTGAACTGGAATGGAATGAGGGTTTATAATTACATATATTTACAATCTTTTTTTTAAAGAATATAGTGTGTATTATAAGAATGTACCAAGCAGAATTTGATTGGAAGTTATGTATTATGTATTATATTGAAGGTCATAAACTTAAGGTATATATTGAAGTTTAAATAAGAGTTGAATGGATGTAATTAAAAGATATAAAGGTGTCATACTCCAATTAGTAACTACAGGAAAAAAAATTGTTTAATGAGAAAAGATAATATGAAATTGAAACAGAACAGACAAAAGTATAAATATAATGATTTGAATTGAGATGAGATAATCAAAATAAAATTGAGAAAATTAAAAGAGGGGAAAAACTGTATAGAAAATGTAAAATAGTATAAGATATGGAATAGAATACAAAAAAGAGCATGAAATTGAGTTTTGTGTCTGTATAAAGAAATTCAACCCGGGACCATGCTATTTTCAAAAAAGATGTTTTACTTGTATTTTGTGTGTGAAAACCCAAATAAAACTTTATTTTAAAAAAAAGCATCTTGTCCATATTGGTAGTTGATATTGATATTGGTAGTTGGAAAATGGTTACCCCAAGCCTCTGAGATCTATCATGAGCTAAGCAACTTTTTGTTATGGTGCTCCTAGCCCATTGGAATGTTCCACAATAAAGGAGAATATTTGTAGTTCAGGGTTGACATGAGGGGTGTTTGGTGCTCTCTGAGCTTGTTTTCTTGCAGAAGTTTCTTTACCCAAACTAGATAACATCATCAGTGCTAAGGAGCATAGTTTGCTGTCAATATATACTGAGAGCAAATCCCACTCCTTACTAGCACTGAAGATCATCCCAATTTTTGTAGAAGCATCTGGACTTTCTTGTTTTCCTTGAAGATGTTTCACTTTCATTCTTGGATGAGAAGCAAAATGACTTCAAGGAAAACAAGAAACTCTGTTGCCTCTTGAAAAAGCACTTTTGGGATAACCTAATGACCTGAGAATCTCATTAGACATTTAACACTGATGATGTTACCTAGTTTCGGTAATGAAAAGTCTGCAAGAAAACAATCAAGCTCAGAGAGCCCTCATGTTCCACAATAAATCCTGGTCAGCTCTAATTCAGGAGGATGGAGCTGACATTCCTTCTTCATCATCCAAGAGATGTTCAACATTGAATAGCTTTGGGATGGGATTTGGACAGGTGGTTCAAACTAGAGTTCTCCCAAGTGGTCATGATTGACCCCCAAGGATCAATGGGATTCTTCAAGGAGTCTATTATTATTAATAGCAGTAGTTCTATTAATTAAAGTAGTATTTATTAAATTATTGACATACAATAAATGTTTGGAAGTCCACAAACAATCTGAAATTTCATCAAGAGGTTAATGAGCTGAAAAAATTGGGGACCCCTGGCTGAATAATCTTTCAATGCTAGTGGGAATGTTTATATGTGGACTTATTTCTCTCTCTCTTGGAACAAATACTTATGTACATTTTTGATCACACTGGGGCCAGTAACATTTAATTACAGTCCTCAAATTACAACAGTTTATTTAGTGAGTGTTTAAAGTTTCAACAGCACTGAAAAAAGTGACATGACTTTTTTCACACTTGCAACCATTGCAATATCCCCCATGATCTCATGTTCAAAATACAGACACTTGACAACCCACTCATATTTATGACGGTTGCAGTTTTTCAGGGTTACGTGGTCCCCTTTTGAGACCTTCTGACAATCAAAGTCAATGGGGAAGCCAGATTCATTTAACAACTGGGTTACTAACTTAACAACTGCAGTTATTCACTTTACAACTGTGGCAAGAACAGTTGTAAAATGGGTAAATATTCCCTTAACAAATGTCTCACTTAGTAATAGAAATTTGGGGCTTGGTTGGGGTCATAAATCAAGAGTTACCTGTACCCTTCTCTTATGTATACTGAGAGTATTTCAACCAAGAAAAATTCCTTGTGTGTCCAAGCACACTTGGCCAATAAAGAATTCTATTCTATTCTATTCTATTCTATTCTATTCTATTCTATTCTATTCTATTCTATTCTATTCTATTTTATTCTATTCTTACATTTCCAACTCCTTAGAAAAAGAAATGCCCAATACAGGGAATTCCTCAGTGTTACGTTTCAATGTATGAAATTATTTCCCCTAGGGGCAAACTCTGGAATTGTTGTAACAAATTCCATAGCGTCTCCTGAAAGGGTTTTTTTTTTGTGCCAGCAAATTGGCTTCTCCAGTCCCTCCCCCTTATTGATGCTTTGAAGTGCTTTGATGCTTACCTGTAATGTTTGCATTCGATCTCGTTCCTCAGAAAGCTGTATCTGTCTTCGCGGGTTTTCTGATATGCAAAAATGGCCATTTTGGAGCGAGAGCCAGCAAAAGCCACCTGAGCTTTGGAGAACCCCTGGTCCTCCGTCATCAAATCCTCGGCCAACTCTGTTTTCCAGTCATTCGTCACGTCTTTGGCTACAGCATTGGCCACATCTATGTCTAACTCATCTACAAAGCTGCTTGTTTGTTGGTGGCAGATTTCTTTCTGCCGCCAGTCCACCCCAACCAGGGGGAGTCTCTGCAGCTGCTCACCCATGTTATCATTCCGACATAGGGTACATGTCCCATTGGGTCCCTGCCACTTGCTGATGTCCACCACGTAAGCTGCTTTCCTCTCCAGAGTGGTGATATCAACTCCCTCCCCGATGAAATTATGGCCTGGTATGAAGTTAACATGATCCTTGCATTCATGTCTGGGATATGTGTCGCATGCGCTGTTGTGGAAGGGGAGAGAGAAATGGAAAGAAGCAAGGTAGACCATGAAGAAGAGATGAAGCTGGGGCATGTTTCTCAGAAAGAGTTCCTTATTCTTAGGTAGTTCGTTTCCGAATTGTCCTGAGGAGAAAAAAAAAGCAACATATGTTTTTTAGGGCAGGGATTTGGAGGTGTGACAAAATATTACAGAAATTTTGAACAACACCTTTCCTACAATGAAACTGGGAGATATCTCATTAAAACAGCTTGTAGGCACAAGAAAAAGCAGGTTATGTGGTGATGATGGACACTACATTATTTGTTATTAATTTTGGGAGGTCCACTGGGGAGCCTCCAATTTTTAATGGACCACAATTGGTCCAGAAGCTTCAGATGGTGCACATTTGAATAAAGCTGACCAATAATGACCCACCAAGTAAAATTCATGTCTGAGGATGCACCTGAATGTAGTTGGCTGCCTAATGAATCAGCTATTTGAGTTAGAGTAGCATAGAATGGAAGGATCCTTGGAGGTCTTCTAGTTTAAACGTCTGCTCAAGCAGGAGACCCTATACCATTTCAGAGAAGTGGAGCTCTTAAAAAAACCTCCAGTGATGAAGCACCCACAACTTCTGAAGCCAAGTTCTTCCACTGGTTAATTGTTTTCACTGTTAGGAAATTTCTCCTTAATTCTAGGTTGCTTCTTTCCTTGATTAGTTTCCATCCATGGCTTCTTGTCCTTCCCTCTGATGCTTTGGAAAAAATAAGTCGACCTCTTCTTCTTTGTGGCAGCCCCTCAAATACTAATCATGTCATCCATAGTCCTTCTTTTCTCTAGACTAGCCAAACCCAAGTCCTGCAACTGTTTGTCATGTTTTAGTTTCCAGACATTTCATCATCTTAGTTGCTCTTCCCTGCACTTTTTCCAAAGTCTCAACATCTTTTTTGTAATGTTTTGCCACCAAAACTGGATGCAGTACTACAACTATGGAGTCACCATTAGATGCTTTGTTTCAGAATCCCCAGGCAGGCATTGGAATGGAAAGGAAAATATCATCATCATCATCACACATCATCATCATCATCACAAATCATCATCATCATCCATTCCTGCCTAGAGCTAGCCACTTGCCTTTTTCAGAACATGAATTCTACCTTAATAGCTTGGTAACAGCTAGACATCCACCATGGCTGGTTTTGCTCTGTGAGCAGCTGCAATGAAGGAACAAGTTTCCCGTGCATTCTAAAGAAATCAGAATGACAATCCTCCCTTCTCTTCTTTCATCTTTAATCTGCAATTGTCTTTTGATGTCTCCTATCATCACAGCCGCCCTCCTGCTGTTTGGTTGACAGTTGCTAGGAAATCAAGATTAGATATATATAGAAATTTACCCACCCCTCCTCTTTTAGGTCTATTCCTAATGACCAATTCTGCAAAGGGGTCTGTCTTCCTTCTTGCTCTGTTTGCTTTCTTCCCTGTTCTAGCAGGGAAGAAAGGCTAGAATTCTAGAGGAAATTTTAGAGAAAGGGAGAGAAAGAGAGAGAGGGAAAAACAATAAAGAAGAAGTGGTTTTTCATAGCAGCTTATTCAACTTGCCTTTAGAAAGACTGAAAGCGTTTGGTGTGTTCTTTCGTTTCACTTCTCCTTTTTAGTTGACCTCATTTCTGTCTGGAAAGGAACAATTGGCATTTTAATTTTTTCCAGATGAATGTTTATTTATTTCATTTAGCAATAACAAGTTTCTCATGATGTTCCTTCGTGAATTAGGCATTCTGCTTTGGGTGGGTTGTGAGACTAATGAGATGGGAGTCAACAAAGAATATGATTTTACCAAAAGAGAGAAAGAGGCCTCTAACCATCCATCCGCCCGCCCCCACAAACAGGGGAATATTTTTGCCAGAAGTTCCTTTGCATCTAATCATCATTTTAAAAAGAAAATAAAAAATGGAGATGGCCTCCTATCAATGCTGCTTTAAGACCCTGTGTGACAAGCCAGAGACGTTTGTACAAACTGCAATATCTCATTTAAAACCTGAATGCTGATTTGTGTATTTTGAGTTAAAACTGGGCACTATCTTCTTATAAACGACAGGCTAGGTTAGTAGTTACATCATTGGAAATCTTTGGTGTCCCACGTTGTATTTGCTTTTGGTGAGGAGAAAGCTTTACTCAGAGAGGGAAAGAGGCATTTTAAAGGAAGAACAAACGAACAAAGTAGAGTGGAAATATGGATTAAAAATTGGAAGGCGGACTACAGAAGAGATTTACAGCTATGATTTTTTTCTGGCATTTCATTTGTTTATTATAAATGATTAAGTGAATTATATGGTGTGTAAAAATGACTGATGTAAAATGGAAGAGAGTACAAAAATATGAATGGAGGACATTTTGATTCCCACCACGGACGAATGGTTGCAGAAGCTGATGGAGTTGGCAAGAAATGGCATAACTAATTAGTTTAAGATAAGAATATCAGTACCTTTGTTTCAACATGGAGACAGCTTCTGAATTTTGTGCTTGAGGTGGAATAGAATGAAACTTTGATTTTGGATTTTACCAATTAGATTGATAGATCCTTATAGAAATGTCTAGTTTATATTACTATGAAAAAACAAAAAGTGTTAATGCTTTATTTTACTGCAGAGGAGTGAATCAGAAGTCAATGTTTCTTCTTTAATTTTTTCTAACCCTTCCTCACTTTTCTTTCCCCCCACTGCTTTCCTATATATTTTGTATCTTGTCTTATAACTTAATAAAGTGTTAAAACAGTAAAAAAAGACAGTACAAATACCTGGAATACATTGGAATACACATATGAAAATGTTTATAAAGTACAATCCATTGTATGCATACTGCTAAAGTGTCTTCTGATTTAAAGCATTATATAATGCGGAAATAATAAAGCTATACGCAAAGAGAAACCTATATTTTGCATAGGATAGAAATCTACATAAGAAACTGTATTCTAGAACTGATTTCCAAACTGAGTCTGTATCAGAATTACTTTTACAAGAGAAGATTATTTTAAGTAAGGAAGCAGATTCTCACAAGTTAGACATTTATTTACATAATGAGATCAATTTTCCAACTGTGAAGCAGTGAATATCTTCACAGCAATTAAGATATCCAAAGGTGATTCAGTGTAGTTTATGGGAATACATAGTTTAGTAAAACTTAAGAATATTGCAAAACAATGTTCCCTGGAAAAGGAATTCAACTTTTAGAATTTATCCCATTCTCATGTAAACTATTTTCTAAAATTGTTAAGCCTTACCACATTCTCACTAAATATGAAAAAAATATTTGATCAGAACATTAAATTTACCATCATTTTTAGAAAAATTTCTATCCATTCGAGTAAGGAGAACTGGAGTAAAATACGAGGGATACAGAAAACTTTATTTCATATACATTAAAAAAAAAACCACTGGTTCTACACTTAATCAACTTACAACTGGTTGTTTAGCAATCAAAGTTATGACAGATCTCCCAAAAAGTACAGGCAGTCCTTGACTTACAGCAGTTCGTTTGGTGACCATTCAATGTTACAACGGCACTGAAAAAAGTGACATGACCATTTTTCATCGTTACGACCTTTGCAGCATTCCCCAGGATCACGTGATCAAAATTTTCTTTCAGTACTGAAATTTCCTTTCCCCCCCGCTTTAATTTCCAATTCTGATAGTACTCACTAAACAAAGTAAGGCAGAATGGCACATTTCTCATCTTCTAAACTTCTGAACTTCTTTGTTTGAGGCTGATTCAGTCAACATGGGGCATACAAGTATATTGTAGAAAGATATATTTACCAGGAGTATTGCCTAATACTTAACTGGAACTGCCCAAAGTTGGTTGGAAGATGGGCAGCTATATAAATGTTTTAAATAAATAAACAAATCAATAAATAATCCTCCTCAGCTCACCTTTTATTTCCTGAATGTTCACTGCATTTAAAAAAAAAAAAGAATTCTAGTAGAATCCGTAGCTATAATTCTACAATAGTTAATTATTTTATTTTATTTATATCAGCTCTACCAAACAATTCTCCATCAGGTTTATCAGATATAGAATAAGGGAGAAAAGGAGGAGAGACTGGAAAAGGCAATCAAAATAACAACAGCAATTCTTCTGGTTTTATGGCTCTTATAGTAACTAGTCATGATGATCTCATCTGCCTTCAAAGTCCTGGGAAACTGTATCACCTCTAATGCAGGGGTTTATTTATTTATTAGATTTGTATTGCCACCTATTTGCCATGGTGATTAAGGCAGCTTACAACATATAAAATCACAATTTCAAACAATAAAACTCATAAAATCAAATAAATTAATATAGTAAAATGACCCCCCCACCTCCCCTGCCCCAGCGATAGCAGATCACACGAGCCATTTAATGGGCTCCAGTCCGCTCTGGATTCCCCAGGCCCACTGGCAGAACCAAGTCTTCAATGCCTTCTGGGAGAGAATCAGAGTGGGGTCCAGTCTAATCTCTGGGGGAATGATATTCCAGAGGGAAGGAGCCACCACAGAGAAGGCCTTTCTTTTGTGTCCCACGAGGTGTATCTCCCTCAAGGATTGGACCCGCAACATTTCCTGCCTCCCTGTTCTGATGGGTCGGGTAAGTGTGACCAGCAAGAGATGGACCCTGTTAGCCTGGTCACAAGCTATGAAGGGCTTTAAAGGTGACAACCAGCACCTTGAATTGCACCCAGAAGCAAATCAGCAGCCAATGCAACTCCTGCAGGAGAGGTGATACATGTGCACACCGTCGTCTGCACAAAACCATGCAGGCCGCTGCAGTTTGCACCAACTGGAACCTCCGGATGCTCTTCAAGGGCATCCCCCACGTAGAGTGCATTACAATAGTCAATATGGGAAGTGACTAAGGCATGAGTGACTGTGAGTAGGGATTATTGGTCCAGGAACGGAAGTAACTAGTGCACAACCAGCAGTTGCACGAAGGCCCTCTTGGCTGTAACCATCACCTGCTCTTCGAACAGGAGTCGTGAGTCCAAGAAAACCCCCAGATGTTTGAGGTAGTGCCACCCCATCCAGGACCGAAGATGCCAATTCTCCCTTAGCCAACGAATCCCAAACCCAGAGCCTTTTGGTCTTGCCAGGGTTTAGTTTCAACCTGTTGCTCCCCATCCAACCCCTAACAGCCTCCAGGCACTGAGAGAAGGAGGACACAGCAACACTTAATTCACCATGGGCTGAGACGTACAGCTGAGTATCATCAGCATATTGGTGTATAGGAAGTTAGCACCCACCCATCTCCTAGAAAAATGAAATATCCTGGGAAATACTAAAAAGGCAGAATATTTCCTATAAAAAGAGTAGAAACTCAAGAGTAGAAACTCACCTCAGAAGCAGAAACTCACCCCCACCTTTGTTAATGGGTGGACCATTAAGGCCTGGGCCAGAATACTTTACATAACAAAGATCTCCAGGTAAAGCTATAGCAATTGCCAAAAGCCCTTTTCAGTGCATCATCATCCAGCAAGGCTCAACCAAGCCTGGAACTCAGGACAGCCTACAGAGTTGCCCCTGCATGGCCCCATGGGAGTCTGAAACCAATCAGAATACAAGCTCCAATTCAAATCCCAAAAAAATCCCAGTATATCAGCCCTTTTTCTTGATCTCTTCCTTCACCTTGAAGCATGTGATCATCCTTCCTTTTCACTTTGGAGCTTCAAGCCATGTGGTCCTCCTGTCCACCATTAAACCTTCTAAACAGCCTCCGTGTTTCCAGTGTCTTTTTCCCTACTTGGAACTGAACCCAGAAGGATTTTTCTTCCAACCAGTGATACCTCAGTCCATGGTGGTGGGTGATTTCTATTGTTTGCCATTACAGAGTAGCTACTTCCAGAGACCTAAGACTGCTGTGAAACTCAAAGACAGAACAGATAAAGAGGTTATATTTTCTCTCGATAATACTCAACTTTTTGAATCTGGTCATGAACACATATTCAAGTGGTGATCAAACATGACCCCTGACCCAGAAATTCCTGAAGACGAAACATTAGAAGATGAAGAAATTGCCAAAGTTATTGAACAAATTATGGTAGTGACCAGAGGTTCTACTGTATGCCTAAATCATTCAGCAGCTGCAAAACAAAAAACAATGCAGTTCTGTGCAGCATGATCAGAGGGATAGAATCAAGACCACTTTATAATGCCTTGGTAAGGCCACACTTGGAATACTGCATCCAGTTTTGGTCACCATAATACAAAAAAGATGTTGAGTTCCTAGAAAGAGTGCACAGAAGACAAAGATGATGAGGGGGCTGGAGGATAAAACATACGAAGAATGGTTGCAGGAATTGGGTATGTCTAATCTGATGAAAAAGACTAGAGGTGACATGATAGCTGTGCTGTCCCAGCCAGTCTATGGGAATTGGATAGTTACTTAGGAATTGTGAGCTGTCCCCTTAAGGGAATGCATCATGGTAAATGTAGTTAAAGGTATCCCTGGGAAATGTAGTTCATGTCACGTGGCCACATCTGTAATCCTGATTGGTCACTAAATTGACCCTCGAAGGGTTGGGGTAGGTTTTTCTCATTCTTGCCTGAACTCACGAA